CCCTACCCGTACAGAGGTTGTGCTACCACTTGTTACCGGTCGGAGAGATGTATGAAGGATGATTGTATTAAGGTCTATCTTGACGTGCACACCGCTACTTATAGTTGGGTACGCACTACCCACGTGATGGCTGGCATCACGTGACGCTGGCAGTGGCCACCCTGCCAAGGGGGTAACATAAACTATAATAAATATATCTATAAATTCTTTAAGTATATAGTTAATTATAGTCTAAAAAATAATAGGTATATTTATAAGTCTAAAAGGTATTACTAAGTATTTATAGTTACCTTTATAAGTACAAAAACACGTTTTTTATTTCTTACTTTCTTTTATCTTAATTAAGTTATAAGCTCCCTTAAAGTTAAGAGCTATAAACTACTTAGCGTTATATAATAGGTCTTATAATTTAAAGATAAGAGGTAATAAATAATAATTCTTAATTATAATATTATTAAGTTATTAGTAATTTATATAAAGTTATAGTTTACTATTCTTTTTAGGTATAAACAAGATAAGGTATTCTACTAAGAATATAGATAGTTAGATATAACCTTTTTAGAGGTTTTCTTTAAGGTACTTATTAAGTACCTCTTATTTTGTTTTATTAAGTCTATAGATCTTATAAAACCTTAGGTATTCTTTTTCTTTAAAAAGAATCTTATAATTATAGATACTATATTCTAATAAGCTTATTTCTAATTCTTTAATAAATAGTTTTTTATATTTATAGTATTCTTTTAAAATTAAAGAAAATTATTCTTTTTTTTATTATTTATTAGTAAAGGACTTAAATTACTTATCTTTTATAGGTCTAATCTTCTTTATAATAGTAATATATCTATATTATTTTAGCTTACTTAGGGGTTATAGTATATAATATTAACCTATAACTAAGTTTATTTTTTATTAAAGTTAGCTTATTCTCTAATCTATTTACAGATTATACTTCTATAGCTATAAGATTCCTAGAATAATATTATAGTCTCTTATCTCTATTATATTAAAAATAAGTTATTCTTAATAGTTATAAGTAACTATAAAGAGTTATATAGTCTCTATATTAATAGTATTTTTACTATACTTAACCTTATCTCTTTTAATAGTTTTTAGCTAATAGTTATCTTTTTTTCTTTTTTATAATATTTTTTATTAATTTATTTATTATAGTAATATAAAGTTTTTTTATATATTAAAGTTAATTATTATAGCTAAGGACTATTTATTAATCTAGATTTTAAGTTTTAGGTGTTCTTTGTTACTTATTATAGTAAAGTAAAGGGATTTTTTTTTAAAGGCCTTCTATAATACCTTTATAGTTAGCGTTTATTGTTTTTTGACTATTAGTGGTCTTTATACTATAGGCAGGGTAGACTAAGTTATTCCTTATCTTTCTTTTGTTTCTTGAGTTCTTGTTTTTTATACCTTTAAGCTTATGCCTTAAAGATATAATAGATTCTATACTTATTTATTCTATAATCTTCCTATTATATAGTAATCTAGTTAATATATTTTATAAGGTATTTAGGGCTAAGAGTAAATATTACTATATTATACTTATTTATTTATTTAAGTTCTTATAGTTTTAACTAGTTATTTATATATACTTTAAGGATAACGTTAATACTATATCTTCTTAGAAAGAACTAGTATTTATACTTATATATTATATACTTAATATAATAGTCCTAGATATATTTTATCTAAAAGATTATTTAGTGTTTAGGGTATTTAGGATTAAGTATTATATAATCTTTAAGTCTTAGTTATATAAGTAATTATCTAGCTACTTAGTATATTTATAGTTTATAGAGTTCTATTTATTAGTTATCTTTGTCTAAGTATATAGTTTTCTTTATAATTTACTAAGGTATTATATTTTCTTTTTTTTTCTTTTTACTAAAAGTATTATTAACGCTAAAGGTCCTCTGAAGTGTTCTTTAAGGTTCTAGTGTAATATATAAGCTAATAGCCTCTATTAAAGATTCTAGGTAATACTTATATTTATTAGCTACTTAATATAATTATCTCTAGTATTATAGTAGTATTTTAATAGTTATTACTATATTATTTAAGATAAATAATCTAAGGTATACTATAAATAGTACTTAGTACTCCTAGATTTATAATATTCTATTTAACTATTCTTAAGCCTTTTTAGCTAACTTCTAGTTAGGGGTTTTTTGTTTTATTACTAAAACTTTAATTTTTAGTAGTTCTTAGCTTTATTTTAATTCCTTTTAGAATTATTTTTTAAGTATTCTAAGTTTTATAAGGTTTCTTTTTAGGTCTAATTTTTATTTAATTTATTAAATTAGTTTATATAAAGTATAACTAAAATAAGGTTTCTCTAAGAGTTATTTAATTCCTTTTATATATATATTTTAAAAGATTTAGATATACTTTTTATTATATCCTTTAACTATAATAAGCTTATAAGGTTTAATGCTTAGGACTGTTTATTAATTAATTATTAGGCCTAAGTTAAATAAAGTTCTGCTTTTAAGAACTAGCTTTTATAAAAAGGTATTTTTAAAGTTATAATTATTATTTACTTAATATTCTACTACTAAAGTCTTAACTTATAGTTCTTTAAAGTACTATTTTACTTGTTTTTTATATTTTTAGTAAATAGTATATTTATTATTATAATAAGTAGTCTATATAAGCGATTTATAAAAGATCTTATAAGCTATATTAAGATTCTTAGACTTCTTAAGGATTAATTAAAATTCTTTCTTTTTAAAGCTTTAATACTTATTAGTATAGTATCTTATTTTATTATAGTTATAACATTTAATAGTCTTAATATCTTATTTTAACTAATCTTTATTAGTTATACTTAGGTTTATAGGTCTACTATATTATTTATAAGTAATACTCTAGTTGTTTTTCTAGTAACTACTAGGTTATATAGACTTAGGTCTTTATAGTATATACTTTTTACTAGTATTTAGCTAAAAGTAGTAGTTTTTTCTCTTTTTTTTTTATTATTTATATAGCTAAGTATTAATTTAAATTACTATTTCTATATATTAAAAAAAGTTATTAAGTTAATCTATTTTTAATAATTTATCTTTTATTTCTTTTTTTAGTTCTTAGTAAAACATAAAGATTTTAATGTTATTAATATAGTCTAGTTATATATAGATTTTTTAGAACTTTATAGTATAACTAATAGCTAACTTAGTTTATTTAAGGTTTAATAAGTCTTATTTAGCTTATTATTTTTTATTTAGGTCTTAAAATAAAAATTTTAAGATATACTTAAATCCTATAAAGCTTCTAAAGATTTATTAGATCTCTAAGTTATAGTATTCTAGAGTTTTATTATCTAAATAGTCTTTTAAATAAGGTTTAAACTAAAAAAAAACTTATTCTTTAAAAAAGATATTTATATAGATAATTTTTTTTATTTTTATATAGAAGTTACTAAAATAAAACGTTTAATAGGTCTTAACTTATATTAAGAATCCCTTAAGTATTTTAAAAGTCTTATTATAAATAATAAAAGAATTAAGCTTAAGTTTTTTTTATTTATTTACTAAAATTAAAATAATATTAGTAATAGCTTAAAGAGTATAAACTTTTTTCTTAAAGTTATTAGTTTATTAGACTTTAACTTAAAGTTAATTAAAGAGTATTATATTATTATTAAATATCTATTATATATTTATAATATTTTTATAGGCTTTTTTAAGTTATTTAGCTATTTTAGTATTATTATTTTTATTATTAAAAGATTTAATACTTTTTATTTTTTAATTTAAGCTTATAGGTTTAAAGAGAATAATTACCTTTTTTTTAGATTTATTAAAAAATAAAGTTAAAGTAGCTTTAAAAGATATTATTATTATTTAGTAAATATTAAAATTAACTTATTAAATAAAAATAATTAAAGTATTATAATTAAATATTTAATAATAGTATTTTTTATTATTAAATAACTAAAATTAATACTTAGTAATAGTAAAGTAAGTTTAGTTAATAATTTAACTAAGTTATAGTTAACTAATAATTAGTTAATTATTTAAAATATAAGTAACTTATATAGCTTTATAATAAAAAAATAATTTAAAAGTTATTTATAATAAAATAAATTATAAAATTAATTATTAAAGAGCTATAAAAGTTTATCCTTAAATATATCTAAGTTTATTTTATATATAAGTTTAGTATTTAATACTATTATTCTAATTTTATTAGCCTATTAATAGTAATTATTTACTTAGTTCTATTAATTAATTACTTGTATCTACTGATCGATTAGTAGGTCTATTGATCGGTCAGTGGGTCCTGTAGAGTGATCACCTTATCTTATTTGCACGTGACTTGTACCATAGTTCTTCCTGTTCTGGGGAGTCATCTGTCCGTTCTTGTGTCTTGTCTATACAAATGTTATGCTGCCCGCGTCCTGCCTTGTCCGGGTGGGGCGTTACTGTTGGTAACTTGTTGGGTCGTAACATGATTCCACACTTCTGACCCCCCACTGTATCTTTAAGTACCTGCCACGCTAAGCAGGAGCGGGCTGTGGAGCCCTGGCCTAGCTTGGAGCTTGGGCCACACTCCGGCTGATTAGCCAATCATACGACCTCAGGATGTCTCGCCCACCGAAACAATTCAAGCAACTAGTCTGGTAATGAAAGCAGACGTCCTCTACAGCACAGGAGCCTTCACGTGTGTTGAGATCTTGCTATATCGCATGAAGAGTCAAAGAGTCGTCTAAAGAAACCCGCCTGATTGTCGCGGGTGATTACAGGTAGCTAGCTAGCTAATTGACCGCATAGGCCTTTGCTATTACATGTATTGTCTCATTTGTTTCCATGGTGGTTTGTAAAGTACCTGCGATTGCGAATTTCTGACCGTATACAATATTTTTGTCTTGCAAATACTCGCGTTTATATCTGAAGAAAACGGAAACTCCATGAGGAGGCCGAGCCCTTATGGTGTACACGTGCCATCCATGAAACTGAAGTGCATCGAATCATCCCCTTCAAGTGTTATGTCGAGGACCGACGCTTCTTGATGTGTACTACCAATGGCGGTTTCTTCCAAATGGCCCAGGCCTTGTGTTTTGAATACGGCTGCGTCCACTCGCGGGACGACTGACCTAGCTTCATGTCAAACTCCCAGAGCAAACGTGCCATGATCAAGCGCATCTCGTTATAAGCCAGGTGCTTGCCGACACAGTTTCGTGGGCCATATGAGAACGGCTGGATAGCGTCTCGCTTGTCCGCGTAGAACGGAGACGATGGGTCCTGAGCGACGTTAGGAAGCCATCTCTCAGGGAGGAAGGACTCCGGCTGCGCAAAGTTAGAAGTCGAGAGCCCGGCGGAAGATTGATGGACGCCAACCCGAGTCTGTGAGTTGTTCCTTTTCGTCAGCATTGATTGCATGGAAACTTGGGAGGACAAAAGACTGTAGTGACGAATGAAATGCGAATCAAGGCGTTTCGTTTAGTACTTACTCCGTGAGGGATGTGCATCCCCTCAATATAAATCAGCTCTCCAGTATTGGGGACAACTCTCTCGAGCGATGCTGGCACGGGGGGGTACAGCCTGAGTGTCTCATTGAGCACGGCAAGCAGGTAAGGCAAGCGTGCGGTGGCGTTGATGAAGTTGATATCGTCTGCTGATTCGAAAGCTTGTCGAACTTCCTCCACTGCTCTTTTATGAGTGTGGGGCGCTGATAAAAGGTAGAATATGCAAGCCGTCATGAGCGTGGCGGTGGTGTCGCTTCCAGCCACGAAAAGAGTGTTCGAGTTCGTGATTATCTCTTCAATAGAATTGAGCGTTTTCTCGTCTCTTCCCCGTTGAAGACCTTTCATAAAGTCCTTGCGAGCCTCCTCTGAGTCGTTTGCCAAACGCCTGTTCACGGCCTTTTTCGTGAAGTTGTATTGATCCATGAAACCCTTTTGCACGTCTCTTGCAAGGAACGGCATAACTATCATTGCCAGTGGGCCAAGCAGGCTGTTAAATTCGAAGATCTTCTTGCCTCTCTCAATGAACAAGAGTACAGAGTTTACCACATGATGTAGTTCGTTGTTCTCAAGGCCGCCCAAAGACTCTCCGAATGTCAAGTCGCCGACAATGTCGAAAGACACGATGTGAAACCACCTCCCCATCTCTGTAGGCATACGGGACTCTGCGACATCGGACAATCTTTGCACCAGCTTGTTGACGTAGCCGTGGATGATGGGCTCCTGCTCTGCTAATGACCTTGGAGAGAAAGCGTGAGCAACCCCGCGGCGGATTCGAGCGTGGTTCATATCGTCGGCGGTAAGTATGTTTGATTGAGGGTCGAATAGCTTGTTGGAAAAATATTTGGGGAATTGCCCGTGTCCGTGACCGTAGATGGTTTTCCAGGCCTCCGCGGTCGTAAACGAGACGGCGTCCGGCGTGTAGCGCACCGCATTGCCATACTTTTGATGGAAATGGCGAATATCCTGGTCAATAGTGCCGAGGAGTGTCTTCACCTTTGGGATGAATGGGAATATCGTCCACAACTTGGGGCCGGGAACATGACGTAGTGGGTGAAAGTAAGCCTGGTATATGCCTTTGACAATGTAAAGAAGTAGCCACGAACTGACAGCTAATATAGCGATTTGACTGATTGGCCCCGTACCCTTAGGGAAGAAAGAGCTTAAACCCATAGTGATGAAAACGTGTAAGCTGCTACGAACACTCATTAGCCCACTCCAGACCAGAATGACTTCAAAGAGCATCAACGAAGGGCGGAACAGATGCCTTTTATTTATTTAATGACCTCGATTATGCAACTTCTCTCATAAACTCTAGCTACACTCCGCATCTTGTTACCCCCTCACCCCTCTCTTTTGGCTTTGTTAACCTGAGGATGAAGTCGTTGCGCATCCCCGTCACCCCACATTTTACTCTGATCCGCTCTGAGACACCTCGCGGAAGCACCCGCCCTTATCTACCAACTCGCCTAAGAATAACGGGTTACATCATCTTATACGGACTACGAGGCGTCAGGAAAAGTCCGTGTTATGTATGGCGATGACTAATGATGTAACAGAAGATAATGCACACAGTGTCGGGGTCCATGTATTTTCCGTAACCGACGCGGTCGCAGAAAAATACGTCTCCGTCCCGTGCGGTTGAGTAGGCACAATCTCTGAAAGCAGGCCTCTTATTGTCCGCAATGAAAACGCACCGCGCGGATTCCGGAAAATAACGGTGTTAGGGCGTTAGGGCGCTCTGCTGCTGGGAAGTTACTTTTTTCCAGCAGGGGTCACCCACTTCTATTGCGATGCCTTTGGTGGGCAAAAGAGCCTTTCCAGGCAGCCCAGTTCTATTATGGGATTTTCTTCTCCCGTGAAATTTGTTGATCAAGTGTAGTTCAAATGCTTCAGTCTACTTGTTTCCACTACTGTGATAATAGAAGAAAAGTAATTGCGTTCTTTGGGGAGGGGTGAAGGAAGGCAGAGGTGGCGGGCGACTCGTACGGCGGCCAGTCCAGCTCAGCAGAACAGGATGCGTTGCATAAATCATTAACACTGTCTTAACCTCAAGTGCCGGATGGCACCGTACCCGGGCGGTTTATTCGCGGTGTGATTTCATGATGTACACGACGCAAGCAAGCGGGATAGGAACGGAACTCGAAAAACATGATTTGCGGTAGAACCTCGACAAAAGCTGAGAAGACGTATAGACAAAGCAGGGAAGAGAGAAGGATTGAACTAGCGGGCTAGATCTACCTTAAAACTAAGGGTAGGGTATGGCCATTATAAATGGAATAAATAAATACCCTAGTTTTGCCCTTTGGTGTAAGCTCTAAGATCTGGTCCCCTGGATTGTGGATAGCTTAAATTGTATACCTTTAGACAATGTTATGTATTATAGGTCTTGCTTAGCTACTTGGTCCTCGGCTCAGGCTCGCTTCAGTCTCGCAGGTGGTAAGAGCTCAAGTCAGCCGCCCAAGAGGGGTAGAGGGGACGGGGTCAATGTGACAAAGGTGGTTGATTGACCAATGGCAGAAGCTCGGAATGTCACCCATACAAAAAAAGTGAAGCATCAAAGGCAGATATCCTTATTGTGGGATTTCTAGTAGGGCCGCAAAGCTTTCCCAATTATCGGATAGTGAAATAGCAATGAAGGCAGTGAAGCAAGCAAAAAGCAAGTAACAGGCAGCAAGGCAAGTAAAGGTACGTCAAGATATTCGTAAGTGTTCATGGTTGAGCTTCCTTTGGTCAAGGTCAAGTAGGAGATTGGCTAAATCCTCTATGGACACTCGAGAATCCGAAGCAGAGCGGAGAAAACCCGACAATTTGCCCACAAGCCCATTGCTCAGCAAAGCTCAACCTCTGTCAGCTGGCTTCTGCTTGGGTAGGCTCCTTCCGGCTTGAAGGGTCAGTCACCGTCTTCAAGCAAGAAAGAAGAAAAGAAGAAAAAACAACCACGGAACCACCATCAATGCCGCTTTCTGAGACCTTTGCTAAAGACTGCTAGTAAAAAGCACGATGGATATTGATCTCTCTTTCATTGTCTCTCTTTGCTGTCCTTGCGACTTTGCTTTGCACACGGTCCGACACGGGCCTGAACAAGACCCTTGTTCTCTATTGATTCGCACACCCTCTTGCCATTTATGCTTCTCACTCCTTTGCAATTTGGTCGAGTTCCTGTCAGCTTGGTCAGTCTTGCATTGCGGCCTTGATTGTAGCGGTCCAGCACACCCTGCCGCCGCTCCAATGCATTGTAAAATATAGTATATTAAGACAAGAAGTAAGAGGTATAACGATGTCTATATACTCCTAGAGACTTTTCTACATGCTTATTACTACCCTACCCTCAAAAGCTCTTAACCTTCTGCATGCTACCCTCCTCCATAAGAGCCTTGTGCATATCAAAAGTGTTGAAAAGTAGATGAGGCTCGTGGCCCATGCCCTTACGAAGGCATTCGAACTCAGCCTTGTCAAAATAACGTTCCAGAATGGGCTGGTAGACCGGGTGGGCACATTTCTTGATAATGACACGAGCACGCTCGCGGGGGCTCAGGCCCCGGACATCTGCAAGGCCTTGCTCAGTCACGATAACGTCGAGATCCTGTAAAACAAAAACTATTAGCATGGTGATCCCAGCAGCCGTTTTAGATACGATAGGCAAAAAAGCCCATAAAAGGTGCTGCGTGTTGCACCACAACGCAGCCAAGGTGCGCGATGGGCAGCAGCGCAACGATGTAACTCAAAACAGGAAGTAAAGGGTCAAACTTAAATGTTCGGTTTGATCGATATGTGTACACATAGGGACGATACAGCTGACTCCGTGAGGGTCGGTTTTGGATGGGCGAGTGGAGGGAGTATGCATGATGCTATATTTGGCGTTGCGCAGGAAATCGGCGCTACCGCCGAGGCCGTTGAGCATGCGGGACCCCATAACGCACGTGCTGTTGGCGTGTGCGTAAATGTCAACTTCGACCGGGGTGTTCATGCCAATAACGCCGAGGCGGCGGATGATTTCGGGGGAGTTAGAAACCTGTTGGCTGCGGAGGAGGAGCTTGTTGTGGTAGTTGTCCCAGTTGTCATAGAAGCGCTGGAAACCGTCGGGAGAAAAGCGGACGGAAGTGGCAGTCGCGAAATCGAGGTGGCCCGAGTCGAAAAGGTCGAGGAAAGTGTCCTGGATGACTTCGGTCCAGACCTTGAGGTTCCAGAAGTTGGAGTCCTTGAGGCCGCCGACGACGGCGTTGGCGATATTGCCGATGCCGGACTGCAGCGGCAAGAGGTTCTTGGGCATGCGGCCGTGCCTGACCTCGTGCTCAAAGTACTCGATGAGGTGGCCGGCGATGGCGCGCGAGGAGGCGTCGGCGGGGGTGTTTGGTGCGGTCTGGTCGGGGTAGTCGGACTCGATGACACCGACGACCTTCTCGGTGTCGATGGGGATGGAGGTGGTGCCGATGCGGTCCTCGACGCCCGTGATGAGGTAGGGCTTGCGGCGCGGGGGCAGGTCGGTCATGGTGATGTCGTGCAGGCCGTCGAAGCTGGGCAGCGAGGTGTTGACCTCGATGATGATCTTGTCGGCCATCTGGACGAGCTCGGGAGTGGCGCCGACAGAGGCGCCCGGGACGATGCTGCCATCCTCCTTGATCTCGGTGGCCTCGACGACGACAACGTCGAGGTTCTTGTTGGGGCGGTCCTTGGTGTAAAAGCCGTAGACGAGGTCGACGGGGAACTGGGACAAGTGCTTGTCGTAGAAGTTGATGCGGCCCTCGTTGATGCCCTTGGAGATGGCCTTGCCGACCTGGTGAGGGCTGCGGCGCTCAATCATGTTGAGGCCGGCCCAGCGGTTCTCCGTCTCGGCGCCGGAGGAAGCGCCGACGAACAGGCTGTAGCGCAGCTGGCCCTGGAGGTTGTTCTGCTCGACGTGGTCGGCGAGGAAGGTCGGCATCTTCTTGGGGTAGCCGACGCCGGTGAAGCCGGACCAGCCGATGTAGGCGCCGTGGGGAAAGTGCTGGAGGAGGTCCTGGGGGCGGGTGAGCTTGTTCAGCATCGACGCGCGCTTGACGCGGGACCGCAGGGCGGCCGAGGCGACGGGAGACGCCATTCTGGGAGGATGTGGGATTTGGTGAGAAAAGCAAACACGAAGGAGAAGAGAGACGATCGCGGATCAGAGTGGAGAGGCTCACTGAGGGTCGAAGCCCGGGGGAAAGAGGGGAGATGGGGGTATGAGCCTGGCCAGAAAACCGGTCAAAGGGGAGAAGGAAGAACACAAGAACGGGGTGTCTTCGGAGCACGAAGTGGGTGACAGTGAGCTTTTGTAACGAGAGCTATTCGAGTGAAAGGGGCAGAGGGAAAATGTCGGCCGAGTCCCTTTTTCTCAGGGTGAGAGACGAGAGTGAGTGAAAGATCAGGTCACTTCGGTCTTCCCTGGAGCCCCTCGGTGGAGAATGACGCAGCACCGCCTGCGAAGCGACAGGGGAGCTCTGTGATCGTTGAGAGCTTTCTAGGAGAATGTGGACTCTTTTCCATGCATTAAATCATCAAGGGAGCTGATTTGATTGGCTTGGAGGGTGCTGTGGCTCGGTAACCGTCGGTAACACCCTTGCCAGGAGACAGCCGCACGGCCGCTAGAGCGGGAACCTTACTCACCTTACATAGTACAGCGCGGAAACAACGCCACGGGCCCTGGGCAGCCTGCTCTTGGTAGGGTTTGGGAGCACATCTTCCGGGCACCTCGACACGAGGCCCTCTCGGTGAGAGCCAGCGCTGGCAGCCATTGGCCAATCAGATGACCGGAACTTCGCGCCAATTGAGGACATCTGCTCGATTCTATTGTAATGCTACAATGTTTCTATAAGCTGGACATATGTGGATGGTCAATCTTTGTATTTTGGGCCTTCAAACAGCCCCCGCTGTCACCGTCCAAGCATCAGGTACCCAGCTTCGAATGTGCAAAAATAAAGTGGGTCATCTTCAAACTTCCGTAGATGCGAGCCATCCTTTCGGCACAGCTCGGCCGGACGAATCTCGGCTTTAAAGCGCGTTCGTCGCGCTCGGTCTCGCGCGCCGGACCCATTTTTCACCGGCCGGTCTCCGCTCCGCCTGGTCTGGATTGAGGGCATGCTCAGCCAACAAACAACACGCACACTCACCATAGTGCACTCAGAAGACCTGGGAATAGCTTCAAATCCTTCTAGCTCCCAACGCATTATTTTAGCTTTCTCTAACCTTGTCCCTTTTGTTTTCTACTCCGGGATCTTGGCCTCCTCCGCAGGGACACCCGCCTTCCATCGGTATGACGCCGCGACGTGCTCGTCCAGCGGACCTGTCTGTCCCTTCTTGCGGTAAAAGTTCTCTCTGTATGTGCCGCCAGGGACGGCGTAGTCGTCCCAGAATAGACCGCGACGCCGCAGCTCGGGAAGCAGCAGGTCGATGATGTCTTTGAAGGACTGCGGAAAGAGGGCGTACGCCTGCGCTCAGGTGTCAGCAACCGCCTATCGTCACGCCTCGATGTCCATGAAAGCATCGGCTTGCCACTCACAAAATTGAATCCATCGACGTCGGCCTCCTCAATCCATGCCTCAAGCCCGTCGGCAACCTGCGCGGCCGTGCCCACAAAGATGGGTCCGTTGCCGCCGATGCTGACATGCTCCGCGATCGTGTGCTTTGTCCACTTTGACGTGCCGGGCGAGAACCGCGCATAGCCCTCAACCGTGGACTTGACGGCATTGCTCTCAACCTGCCTCAGCTCCTCGTCGTCGCCGTATTTGCTCAGGTCGATGCCTGTCCAGCCGCCAAAGAGCGCCAGCGCGCCTTCGTGCGAGGCGTACTGTCGGTAGTCCGCCAGCTTCTTCTGCGCCTCCTCCTCCGTCGCTCCCAGGATCGGTGTGACGAGCGCGAGCACCTTGATGTCGTTCCCGTTGCGGCCGTACTGCGTGCGCGCGAGTTCGCGGATCTCGGCAATGTTCTTGGCGCAGACGGCGGGCGCGTGCGCCGACACGAAGATGGCCTCGGCGTGCTGCGCGGCGAACTGCTTGCCGGCCTTGGAGGTGCCGGCCTGCAGGAGGAGAGGCGTGCGCTGCGGGCTAGGCTGCACGATGTGCGGGCCGGGAACTTTGAAGAAGCGGCCGTTGTGGTCGATCTTGCGCACCAGGTCGGGCTGGGTATAGACACCGGACTTGCGGTCGAGCTTGACGGCGTCGTCGCGCCAAGAGGACTCGAAGAGCTTGTACATGACCTTGATGTACTCCTCGGCCTGTGCGTACCTGTCGTCGTGCTGTGGTTGTTAGTGCCTGAAATTGCGATTCGGTAAATGATCGAGGTTCTCACTTGGGGCTGCTGGGCGAGACCCATGTTCTTCGCCGCCGAATCGAGGTAGCTGGTCACGATCTGTCTCTGTCAGCATGCGGTTCGCTCACTCGCTGTCCATCAATCACTGACATTCCACCCTAAGCTGCAACGTTGTCAGTCTGAGATTACCGCAGAGGAAACGACAAGGACACCTACCGGCCACCACTGAGATGGTCTACTGTGGACAGCCGTCTTGCCAAATGGTACGGCTGTTCATATGTTGTCGAAACCGTCACGCCGAAACCGATGCTCTTCGTCACTGCAGCCATGGCGGCTATGGGTGCCAATGGCTCGTTAACAGGCCACTGAGCGCCAGAAATCTTCGCAGGGTCGAGAGATTGCGAGTACACGTCGTAGCCACCTTCGCGAGCGTTAGTAATCCCCTCAGAGGTAACAGGTGCTGGGCAACAAACGTACCAAGAACATCGGCGATGAAGATGCCGTGAAACTTGGCCTCCTCAAGTAGCTTCGCAAGCTCAACCCAATGGCTGATCTCGTTGAATCGCCATGACTGGTCGTCGGGATGCCTCCAGAGACCGGGCGACTGATGTCCACTGCCTATATCGCGGTTGTCAGCTACAGTCCATCTCGTGCTTCACATGGCGAGGAGGTCGCAGGCTCCTTACACATCTCCACGAAGGCATTGAGCACAAGGCTCTTCTTCGGTTTGCTTCCAGTCGTGTCGGCCATGGCTGCTTTGATGTAATCGCTCTGATATGCTTGTACTCTGGATGCACGTCAATCTCGTGTTTGAAAAGAGTTTGAAAGAGTGTGAGGACTGTATCACTGCAAAGCTTCAGGGAAAAAGTTGCGAGCTGTCCTCGACGACCGCGGGATAACAATAGGGCTTGGAGGGGTCGCGTCGAAACTGGCGTGACGTGACGCACCTTGGAGACTTTCCGGAGTTTGGTCTCACAAGTTACCCCAAAAGCCCCTCCCGATGTTCGGCGTGGGTCCGGTACCGTGGAGCCGGGGTGATGATGCCACCGGACGGCTCGGTGGCGCAAGACGCACGACGACACACAACGGGCATGGCGGACCCCACGCCAATGCCGCCCTCCCATGCAACCAACCCGTCGCCAAGCTACAAGGGAAGCTCCTGCACGAAGCCTCGGATGAGATCTTCAACACTCTCCTTATCTGTAACTAATAGCAGTCTAGCGGTTAAGCTGCAAGATGCACAGCTAGCTTGAAAGACAGCTTCAACAGTCTCCGCCGGCAATCGCATGTCGTGGAGCTCAGAGTTTAACGTGAGGCCATCACGTCATGTTAGCTCCGATGAGATGGGCCAACAGGAGACTTGCGGACTGTCTCGTGGCATGCTGACGGATGGTCAATACCCGTCAGTGACAAAACAGCGCCATTTACAAGGGGCAAGTGGAAGCGCCTGTGTCGCTGCGATATCGAGGTTGTGATTCGTTAATTGCTATTCACGCAGCGTCGTGATTCCACGATTACTCTGGGGACGACCACTTCATTGACACTATTTGCACAGGCGATTTGAGCTTGAGGTCATTCAATTAAGGTTCAGGCGAACAAATTAACTCAACCAAACAGGGAAATGTCTATCTCTATGGCACTATTGAACCCCCATCTTAGCGATCGGCGCCAGTCTACCGGAACATCGGAACCATTTGCCAAATCCCGACATCTTGGGAATGGTGCTGACTCGAGCGTGAATCCCGCGTCTATTGCTGCTTGGTATCCGACTCACCGTCCTCGCTCGACACCACGGCAGTAACACCCCGAACCTCCTCAACGTGCGCTTCCAGCCCGGAGCCGAAGTGTCTCAAGACAAACCACGCAGGCCCAATGGCAAGGGCCCATAGCGCAAAGTTGAAGTAGATGCCGCCCACCTCGCCGAAAATCGTGAGTGAGGTGAGGCCATAGCTGACAGCCTGCCATGCCGATTCGACACCACGGAGGAGTGCAGCGTAGCGGATAACTTCTTCCTCGCCCTTGGCTAGGTTCGTGACGATGAAGTAACTTGTCCTTGTTAGCGCGATGTTCTACCAGCTCCGAGTGGTGATGGAGGAGAAACTTACAGGAAGAGATAGTTGAGCTGGAACCCGATGGTGAGGAAGATGTAAACGGCAAAGGCAGAGCCGAAGCCCGGGCTGACCCAGTCATGCGTTGGGCGCGTCTGGCGGAAGCGCGTGGCGAGGATGGTGGCCCAAAGCCACCAGGCGCCCTGGGTGACAACGAGAGCCCAGAAGGTAGACCGGGTTCGGGTCTTGAGCGAGACCTTGGCACGATCGAGCCAGTGCTTTGGTTAAGTTAGTATTGTAGGATGGCTTTCATAATGGATCCCATCAACTGTGACTTACACCCAGGAGGTTGCCAGATATCACGGCAACAATTCCTGACAAGAAAGATCCCAAAGCTCTGGATCGAACAGAAAACCACGCTGCGCATCACCTATCAGCACCGTCCTATCCCAAGACATCAGGCTTGTCGAGACTTACTGGCAAGGTAGGTGAAGAACACAGCCTCCGCAAAAACAGCCTGGCCGATCCAGAGGATGATGAGGAGGAACTTGGGTGTGAACAAATTCTTCGTTGTAGCCTTGATCTCGTACCACGGGTTCTCCAAGATAGCCAAGCTGACCTTCCGCCCGTCCTGCCGCTCGACCTTTTCCGGTTTGTTCAGAAACAAGCCTACAAACGGGCCCGCTGCCTGGATGGCGATGAAGACGATGAAGACGGTGTACGATACCTTGCCGGCCTGGTCGTTGTCGGCGTTGAGGCCAAGGTTGATCGCACCGCCGAGGATCTGACCGCAAAGGCGGTACGTAAGCCAGTAGCCCAGGGCCTTGCCGCGGTTCCAAGGCTCTGGGTAGGCGATGGCGATGGCGGCCTCGGCCATCCAAAAGACACCGGCCGATATGCCGCAGAGAGCGGCGCCGAGGAGCATGAGCCACTCGATGCCGTAGCGGTTATTGGTGTACAAGCCAGCGGCGAAGGGGGCATATCCGATGCTGTTATGTGTACGCGTCAGCACATGCTCTATTCCAGACATCCGTTAGATGGATATGCTCACGTTCCAAAGATCAAAGCGCCTTTGATCCCGATGTAGTGGACGATGACCGAAGAGAAGTAGCATGACACGACCATCAGACAGAACGTCAGGGCGTTGGCGGCGTTGACTACCTTGGGCGATGCTGCGCCGCCAGCGCCGAGGGAGTTCATTGCGCCCCAAATACCAGGTGCTGCGAGGTTACACAAACCGAGGATGGTCATGTTGTAGAATGTCGAGCGGTACCACCGCACTTCGATGCTTCATGTCAGCATATCTGAGCATGTGGTGATTCAAAGTTGAACAGGAGGGCTGACCTGGGTGACGCTCCGACTTGGGAGGAATGACATCGCCCGCGGAGGCGTCGGCGTACTCTGCCATCTTGACGTGTCTTTGCAATCAAATAATGGTAAACGAAGGAACGATGTTGAACAACGACAATCTGGTTCAAGGAGACTGGCCAAGACCTGAGTATCCGGTTGGTACGTCGCCCATCGACCCCAATGGGAACGGGAATCCTTCGTCTTATGGATCAGACCAGGGAGACTTACAGACTGAGTATGCAGGGATGGGTGTCATAGTCAGGGTTGCCGTGCTGCTATTCGCAGCCTAGCTCCTGTCATAGAGGCAAGATTGATGTGCCATCGACACATGCCGGGACCAAAGGTGCAGGGTCCAGACAAACTTTTTTCTTCCCTCTTTTCTGACTATCCCAGTTCCACCCCCAGAGTTACTCCAATTATCTAGTAGCTCAGCGTTTGAAACTAAACTCGACAGGTATTTTGTACAAATTACTGGCGACTGGGGGCATTGGTTGAGTGGGTGGTTCTGCTCGGCGTTGCGAAATCAACCGGGTTCAGCACGCCATTCCGCTGCCGGCGCACAGATGCCAGAGTACCACTCACGCTGGCCCATCATCACCCAAAATAATTAGCTTGAACCAAAAAGCACGCGAGAATTGGAAACAAGCGCGAGTTACCAGAGCTTTCAGGACTGTGCAGTCCATGTCAACTGGCCCCAAGCACGTGGGATGGGCCCTTGTGGCTTTGAACGTATTCCGCTGAACTATTACATTAGGGTCTTTGGGTTTGTTAACCGGGATGTCACCGTCAATGATGACGGCTTGGCGTCGGCTCTCGGGTTGAAGGGTCTGCAAAGCGTACCATGCCGCCGGTAAACCGGTTAAGGCATAATCAGGTCCATATCGATAGTTGGTTCTGGGTGCTGGCTTTTTGAAAATGCCGGGAAGTTCACGTTATCGAGTGAGAGCTTTCTGTAAGGACTTTCAAACGAGCGAATTGAGTCTTGATGAACTGTGCTATCGAGAGATAATACTACCCTAAGGGTATAGCAGCCTCAACGAGAGGTGTGGCCCACTCGTTTTTCTTGATATCTATAATTCTTTCACCTTGAAAGTCTCGATTACCCAATTGGAGCATTTATGGCACACTCCACCAGCTCTCATGAACATCCTTAACATCAACACCACCAGCCTTCAGATATGGTGTGACATCAGCCTCCGGATCCAGTTCCTTCTTCGTACACCCTTTGCCGAAGTACCACAAGAAAGGGTTCTCCGATTCACCTACATACTCATACTCGAAATCCTCCCATCTCGGCTCCCGCTGCACGATAGTCGCCAATGTCGCCGACCCCGGCCACAGACCATGGATCCTCGACCCGGCCTTACCACTGTTATACCACGAGCTGCAGTTTTCCGACAAAACTGTGGTCGCGAAGAAAGCGTCCGAGTACTGTGTAAAGTTATCCGCCGCCTTTTTAGTAGGCTGGATGCTCTTGATGCCCTCGCGACTCGCCTTGCGCAGGATCCGCGCGAAATACGTGATCTGGTTCTCAACATTGTGCGGGACCGTGCCAGAGCGGCCGCTGCCGTTAGGTCCGTGGATGAAGAGCAGGTTGGGGAAACCTGGAGTAGCGGAGCCGAAGTAGGTGTAAGGCCCGTCGGGGCGCCAGAGTTGCGTGAGGTCCTGGCCCTTGGCTGTGATAGGGAACGGCGGCACCATGTCGACATTGGCGCCTGTTGCACAAAAGATTGCGTCGACTTCGCGGTGCTTGCCGTCTTCTGTCTCGATACCGGTTTCAGTGATGCGCTTGATGCGGGTTTGAATGTAATCCGTCTTCTCGGATGTGATGGCCTCGAGGTAGCCCGGTCCAGGGGTCAAGCGACGGCAGTGTGGGGAGAACTCAGGGATAAGGGCGTCGATGAGCTCCGGCTTTTTGGTAAGACGATCGTTCATGAATTTGCGGAAATTCTCCCGCGCGCCTTCGTTTTCACTAGATCCCTTGAGCCAACCGGTGAAGTGGCGAAAGTATTTGCTTTCGTTGTCCTTGCGGTACTTGAGGTACGCCTCCGGGTCTTTGCGGAAGGTCTCTTTCAAGTCTTCTGGGATAAGAATTGGCTCGATCGAGGTCTCATCGCCGGCAAAGGACGCCGTGATCCACGTCTTGTTTCGCGCATAGTGGTCCAGGTGTGAGACGACCTTGTGCAAGTTGGAGGTGAGTTGGATGCCGCTGGCACCGTTGCCGATCACGGCGACCTTTTTGTCCCTGGGGTCGAAGTTGGGATCCCAGTTCGAGGCATGTCTAAGAACGCCCTTAAAGTCCTTGAGACCAGGGTAGTCTGGCAGCTTCCAGGCGTTGAAGCGGCCAATGGCAGTCAGGACGAATTCGGCCTCTTCAATCCTGATTGCGTCCGTTTTTAGATCGCGGATGGTAATTTGCCATATCGAGCGCGAGTCGACCCAATTCAGACCCTCGACACGTTGTGAAAGCTGAAGGTACTTGTATACATCATACTTGCGCGCCAAACCCTGCCAGTAGTTGCGGATCTCAGCACCTTGAGCAAATTCCTCTGTCCACTGAGTGTTTGGATCGAAGGTCGACTGGTAGACGTGGGCTGGTACGTCGCAGCGGACGCCGGGGTAGATGTTTTCGAACCAAGTTCCACCCTGAATTCTCCCTGTTAGTCTTTGTCGAATCTTTGTGTCTTGGGTTTCTGAGGACTTACCACGTCTGCGTTCTTTTCGTAGACAGTAAGCTTGATGCCAGGAACCTTTGCTGGGAGAAGCACACCGGCGAGAACTCCAGAAAGACCTGCACCGACGACGGCCACCCGCAATTCTTGAGGCTCATCTATGTATCTGTCGACAAGCTTGATAGGGAAATCATCGTAAATAGACTTTGGGGGTGTGAGAAGTGAGTCTACTGTCCGGTCGATGAGTGTCTGTTGATCCAGGCCGCTTTTGGCGGGTGTCTCAGTCACAACGTCTTTTTGATCGTCGGTCGTACCCAGCACATCGCTAGTCGTGGGCGACGTTGTCGTCTCAATATGGTCACCCATCATGGAATATTTACGGTGCGTGTTACTTCAAAGACCACGTCCTAAGCCGATAAACTTAGACAGCTTCAAGCACAGCTCGAGGGCAGATGAGATGGGGGACCTCCATTTTGTCCAACCTCTAATCTGCCCCTCGCGGGACCGGACATCGGAATCACGTCAGACACTTGCTTGAACGCGTTACACGCCCAAGGAAGGGATGTTATAAGCTCTCAGATTTGGTTCAACCCGGGACCACCTCGTCAACCACAAAGTATCCTATCAGAGATGAGACATTGTTATCTCGAGCAACAGCTCGACACTCTGGGCAGCTGTCTACCCCACCATGAAGCTTCTGTTTTACCCCGCCGCTGATGGTGCGGGTAATCCTCCGCCATGGTTGTTGCCGGAGATGAGGTGCGCGGGATATGGGGAGCACGCCATCTCCCCACTTTCTTGGGGAATATCCACGAACGCTCAACCCCCAACTATGCGCTCCCCTACCTCCCTGGATCGGAGCTCAACACCACATGCAATCGAGGCTCCGACTTGCCGGTTGCGCCCTTTGAAGGCAATTGCAAAAGTACACTGATTTGTCTCCAATTCTGCGAGGTGATAGAGGGGATGCATGGATGATGCTATCTGGTGGTGTGGGACCGAATGGCTGGGGTTCGAGTGGTCTATCATAATAAAGAGGCGCCTCACCTTTCCTCTTTACATCTGATCAATTGTCACATCAATGAGCCCTGGTATGGTGCAATGGCCCATCCTCTGCGTGCTTTGTTGCTGTAACGTCTCGTCGCGCCCCTCCACTCCATGGTCGGGCTTGGTGCTATGCCAATACGCAGTAGCCTTCGACTTTTCACCTTGGGTAACGCCAGCGCCAAGTTTTGCTTCACAGGCCTGCGTGATATTCTTCTCTGGACCTTTGTATCAAGGCCTGAAAAGATTCTTCGTGGGCGCTTTGACATGGGACAGGAAAATTTGACAATAGGGGCTGGGGTGTCAGGTTTATACTAAAATTGAAGATTCCTTTGAATCCATTTTCCTCGATTGTATTGCTCCATTACCATGCAATAAAACCTTCAACATCTTTTTTCGTCTATTTTTGTTCAGGAACCAATTCCTGAGTCTCTATCATGGTGGTTCAAGCTCGTAGGCGGTGGTGGCATATCCAATGGTTCGCCGATACCGACACGCCGGAGGAACGCAAGCTCATCAACAAGTTGGACCTCCTCATCGTTCCATACGCGGTATTGAGTTATTGGGTCAAGTATATTGACCAGGCCAATCTCAACAACGCCTATGTCGCTGGACTCAAGGAAGACCTTGGGTTCAAAGGCAATGAGCTTGTACAGCTTCAGACATTCTACATCATTGGCGCTGTCACTGGGCAGCTACCAATGATGTTTATCCTTACTTATGTTCCAATTCATTGGCTCATTCCTTTCTTGGACATTGCTTGGGGTGTTTTCACGCTACTTCAGTTCCGCGTTACCGGCTTTGCTGAGCTTGCTGCATATCGGTTCCTCGTTGGATGGTTCGAGGCCGCCTTTTTTCCGGTCATGCACTATCTATTTGGTGAGTCGAGCCATAATAGAGCTGAGAATCCGTATGGTTTACTAACTACCCATAGGATCCTGGTATCGCGGCGATGAAATTGCAAGACGTGGTGGCATCTTTTATGTTGGCCTTTCCTTGGGCACGCTCACTGCCGGTCTCATTCAAGCCGGTGCCTCATCTCGGCTTGAAGGTGTGAATGGTCTTGCAGGATGGCGGTGGATGTACATCATCTGCGCTCTCATCACCATTCCCATTGGTATTCTGGGCTATTTCGTCATCCCAGGTACCCCTGAACAGCCGAACCGCCTAGTTTTGAAGAGAGAAAATATCGAGTTGAGCGTAGAAAGACTGAAGCGCGCTGGTCATTCATCACATGGCAAGCTCAGATTTGGTGCTTTAAAGAAAGTCTTCTTATCACCACAATTCTGGGGTATCATCCTTGTCGATGTTTTTTTCTGGAACGCCGGCATTCATACATCTTCCGGAAGCTTCCTGTTGTGGATCAAGAGTCTCGGTCGGTATTCCGCTGCAAAGGTCAACGAGCTCGGCACAATTGCACCTGCACTGGGTATCTTCTACACATTGTTCATCTGCTTCGCTTCAGATCTTGTTCTGGGCCCGGCATGGGCTATCACTCTATCGCATGCATGGAATATCATCGGATTGATCATTCTGGTCATTTGGAACGTTCCTGAACCTGCTAAGTGGTTCGCTTTCTCAACTATCTACTCATCATACGCGATGTCAAGCGTCTTCCATGGATGGGTGAATACTCAACTGCGATCATCGCCGGCCGAGCGTTCCTTCACTCTGGTTCTTATCAATGCAATATCTCAGTCTTCTACGGCATGGACTCCTCTGTTGGTATTTCCCACTGTTGAGGCCCCTCGGTATCCCAAAGGCTTTGCGTTCACACTCGGTTCTTCAATCCTTCTGATAATCGCCACTCACATTTTGCGGATATATTTGAAACGAAAAGAGTAAGTCGCTTCTGCCATTGGAACTTAAATGATTTCACCCAAGGTCACTGACGGTCATCCAGCCCGCAAGTCGAGAATTCAACTGGTTTTCCTGAGAGTGGCCCAGAAGGTCACACCACTATTGAAGGTAACAAACCATTGCCAATAGTGTTAAACGGTAGTGGTGACCGAAGCGACTGAAGAAACAGTCTTGGAAGTGCTGCTCGAAGCTGATTATCGGTGAGCATGGGATTCCACATTGTAAAGAGCTCAAGGTCGAGGAAGTCAAGGCGTGAGTCCTTGGAAGACGCACAAGCGGAGAGCTTTGTCATGTGCAAGTTTCCTAAAACCCTGAGAGTAGCCGGCTATTAATTGTGATAATACTGGTGTCCTATCAATTGAGTCCTCTTTATAACGAGGGCCTTTGTTACACCAACTCTTCCCACTACGTGAACGCTCGATGACTGATTACTCAAGCTAATCTGCCTTCGGTGTTCACGCTATATTCTACTTTAAGATATTTCCAAATGGAATGGATTTTTGCAATTTCCTTCTGCTGAACTCTAGTCCCCTACCTCGGTATTCTGGTTTGGTTCAAGTCGCTACTCCAACTCGTTCGAAGAAAAGCTGAAACTGGGCCATGTAGTATCACTCAACGTTGACCTAGAGCCCTATGTATCGACCAATTGGTCAGCATTGGAGAGCGTTATGTTGAAGCCTCGCTATTTCATCGTCAATAATTTCGGATTATGAAATCTTGTGGCCATAAAGTAAATATGTATGTGAGAAGATGAGGTCTTTTTTGGCCGTCTAATTAGTATCGTGTTATTTGAGATGGTTATCGTTGTGGCCTGCATGAATTTCTGCAAGCAGGTTTCGACCCGCTATGGAAACGCAGTTCTATTTGGCCCACCACACCGTCGGCGAACCAAGCGTCGGGTCGAGAACCAATGAGTAGACATTGTCAGGTCTTAGAGATCTTTATTGCTTGTCTGATGTCAAAATAGCCGACCGGCGTCGAGCCCGAAACGTAATTCTTTGCTTCATACTGAGGGAATGACGGATGGCACCATCCACGCCCGCAATCACGCCAACGTTCCGCCCTGCGTTGGAGACGTTGAATTGGAGACTACGTGCAGATAACGTTCCGCGCCAGTCCCACGCAACGGGCGACAACGGCGATGACGACATGGCGACTGGCTGAAGGAGTTTCTTGCGTCGTGTGTATGCGCCAAGTGGAAGAGATCAGGATGCTTCGTGTACGGTTAAAAAGCCGGAAGGCCGCGCAGTTTGAACAAAGCTGGTGGATGAGATTTAGGTATTACTTGATGCAAACATATCCAAAATGACTTCGGTACCGATACACAGCTCTATCAATGGTGACAGTGGCGTCAGTTCAAGGGTGAAGAAGCAAATCCTGCTGAACGCTTTTGATATGTCGACCGTCGGACACCTCTCTCCTGGGCAGTGGAAGGTTTGTCGCTCTTCTACGCAATTTTGTCGAAAGATGGATCATTTGGTAGCTAAGCGTCTTCCAGAACCCTGCCGACAAATCAGCAACCAAGAGAGATCTTAACTACTGGATTGATCTTGCGAAGCTGTTGGAAAGAGGTGGCATCAACGCCCTTTTCCTAGCCGATACGTATGGGGGTTACGATACATACGAAGGCAGTCTTGATAACTGTATTCGCCGCGCGGCCCAATGGCCAATGACGGATCCGACAATTGTGGGGAAAGTCCTTATCATTGAGGAGAGTCCTAGCTAACAAAGTCGTAGCCCATTAGCGCCATGGCGGCAGTGACCAAGAACCTCACTTTCGCCATCACCGCATCCACGTCTTTCGAGCCACCTTTTTTGCTTGCGAAACGCTTCTCGACTCTAGATCATTTCACGAGAGGTCGAATTGGCTGGAACATCGTCACTTCTTGGAAAAAGGCAGCGTTCAAGGCCATTGGACTTGATAGCCCAATTCCCCACGATGAGCGATACGCACAAGCGGATGAGTACCTGCGAGTGCTGTACAAGTTGGTCTCTCTCCTCGGGACCGTAGACTGTGTCTACTCTTGAATTGGTGCTAACCAATTGTATCAGGCTTTGGGAAGGTTCATGGGCAGACGACGCGATTACACCTGATCCCGAGAACGACAGCTATGCTGACCCCGATAAAATCCGAACAATTCACCATCACGGAAAGTTCTTCGATCTTGACACACGTCACATTGTCGATCCATCTCCTCAGAGAACCCCTTTCCTCTTTCAAGCAGGCACTTCAGCGGCCGGTTCCGAGTTCGCGGCTACCCACGCCGAGGGTATATTTGTTTCGTCTCATTCGCCACAGCTCCTACGGCCCAAGATCAAGCAGATCAGAGAGAAGGCCGCAGCTCTTGGCCGAGACCCTCAGTCTTTGAAGTTTTTCGCTACTTTCACTCCTATCGTTGGTCGAACAGATGAAGAGGCTCAAGCTAAGCATGAAGAGCTGAAGAAGTACGCCTCCGTAATTGGTGGATTGGTCCTCGTTAGTGGTTGGACGGGTATCGATCTCTCCAAGATCCCTGTCGACCAGGAAGTCACTGCTGCCGACTCACTGGAGGCACACAAGGTTCGCAGTATCCTCGATTCATTCACAACAACGAGCGAGCACGTACCTAAATGGACACCGCGGGTCATCGCTGAGCGAGCGGCAATTGGAGGTCTTGGCCCTGTATCCGTTGGAAGCCCACAGAAGGTGGCCGACGATCTGGAGTATTGGATTCGAGAGGGTGACCTAGATGGATTTAATCTCGGATATGTGACAACACCTGGTACATTTGAAGATGTTGTTGATCTTCTTATTCCCGAGCTTCGACGTCGAGGAATTTACCCAGAGGCACCCGCGGAGGATGTACAGCTGACGGCTAGAGAAAAGGTCTATGGTGAGGGGCAAAAGGGCTTAAGAACCGATCACCCCGGTTCTACTTACAAATACGACGTCTATAAGGAGGACAGCACCGAGTCACAAGAGCAGGATCCCATTCACTAAAGCACAGTTACATGTAAGTTCCACTTTCAATGGAAAATGGGCTTGGAAGGGTACCACTTGGGTGCATTAGGCAGACACCTATGCGTCAACATAAGGGCTAGCCTAAGCAGGCTAATGAGAGTTCAGTCACACAATGTATTTCTCTTTTTTGGGCGTTTTCTAGTTCCCCTTATCTGAATCAAATCACCTCGTGTCGTTTGCATAACTCTATAAGATACAAAATGAGTCTTTCAATCCTATCGTCCCTTAACGGGCTTATAGATGCTTGCATGGCTTTGCTACTATCATGGACCGTCTCTTTCACTTTGACTACGTCTATTCGCCCTTAGGTGACGGGCCCACATTCAGATTATTGAACTTCAATCGTCAGGAATATTCGATTGTTAAGTTCGTTTTAGCACTCGTGAGATCGATCTTGAGACATATCATGGCACCTGCTATGAAACCATGATATACACGTGAGGAAAAGACAGGTTTCTTGGACGACCTCAAGTGGATGAATGGAACAAATGGGGGTGGATGCGAGCTTGGCTGAGGGGTAGCACACACCTTGTATGTACATTTGGTAAAACCTTTTGACGTACCATATCAACAACGTGAATTTCAAGAGAATATAGGAATATTGAGTTTATGGATAGTTTCGAAAGCCTTGAGCATGCAGTTCTTTAAGCCTTCTTAAGGCCGATTAGAATCCCTTGGAACAAGTTCTCGCGGTCAAGGCCCTTAGTCAAAGTTTCGAAGGGAAAATTAAATATAGAACGAATTGACTCTATGTACATGTCTAATCGGAATATTTACACATTGAAGGGGCGCCCGCAGCTCTAATCTGTCCAGAACAACAGTCGAACCAGTCGAATCGATGCACCAGAATCAAGGTGGAGAGACCAATGTGGTTCTTTAAGCGACAGAGATGGTGTAGGCAGTGGTCTTGAACACGGCATTGCTTCCGGAGAAGGGCTCCGTACCGGCCTGCAGGCTGGTGACAACGTTGGTCTTGGCGACGCCCTGCTTGGAAGTGAGGTAGTTGAAGAAGCCCATCAAATCACCGTTGAAACTCTTGATAGCACTGGGCGCGACAAAGGAGTAGACAGTGGTGTCACCGTTGGGGCCTAGTGGTCGAAGTTAGACAGCAACCCTTTGTGATTCCGTAACGCTTCATTTACCTTTGTAGAGAGACCACTTGGTACCAGCGATGGTAGGAGTGTCAATGGTTTTGCCAGTGCTGGAGATTGGGCCGGCACCGCCGAGGGCGTTGAGCCAGATCATGATCTCGTACTTGTTGTTGGCACCAACAGAGGGAGCGAGCCAGAGGTCGTAAGCAACATCAGCTACAATGTTGGAGCCGGTGTAGCTGGCAAAGTTGTCAGATCGAGAAACCAGCAACAGGCTCGCGGGAATGAAACTCACCTCCAGGTCCACTTGGAAGGGATGGACTTGATAGCAGAGAGCTGCTTGTTGACCTTCTCGAGAGCAACGTTGGAGTAGGATTTGACCTGTCCCGCACCTCCGTTCCAAGTCCAGGATGTTGACCAAGCGACGGAGCCGGACTTCAGGGATTCGAAAGTGGTGCACTGGCTGCCAGAGGTGGCTTGCTTCGCGCCCCAGTTGTTGTGGTAGATAGTAAGACCTCCGGTAGTAACAGAGCCGAAAGAGTCACACATCTTGGTGGCGCGCTTGTCAACGGTCACGGGCGTGGGGGTGGCCACGGCCGTGACAGCCAGGATGGCCGAGACGACGTAAGAGGAGAAATGCATGGCAGAAGACGTTCAACGGCAAGGTTAGAATGAATGACTAAAACGAATGTGGTTTAGGAGAGAACGTAGTGTTAGAACGAACTTAAAAGCTTGTTGCCGAGTAGAAGTTCCCAGGCGGGCAGGCGGCAGTTGATATATACTTACTACATGATCTTACGTCAATGACGGAGGTTTTTTTTTTTTCCTTTTCTAGAAGAAGAGAAGTCCCTCCAATTACGGCGCAAAGTGCCGACTGGAACGCTAGTAGGCGGCCACAATGTTACGATAGGGGTGAGTACCCGACCCTGTGCTGCTTTCCTTGACCGGGATGTCAGAGCTAAGCTTCGGACGGAAAGCTTAATGCGGGTTTAGTGAGTGTCCACCATAGTGGTGTCCACTAGGTACGGTTTCAATTAAATCACTTTCCCAGCGCGCAAAGCCGTGGCCACGCGGTTTCCAAATGACTCCACCATTAGGGGATTGTGGGCGGGTAATCTTCTCATTGCGTTTATTCTCATATAAAATAGATTGTTTTTTGAGGGACAGTAATCAAGAAACCCTAAATTAGAAATGCAAATCCACATTATCCTTGGAGCAATATCCCAAAAGGTAATGGACAAAAAAGATAGAGGTGAGTCTCGACTCGTGTTCGATCAACTTAAGTTGACATTGAAGACCAGCCCCAATCATCATCTTGGAAATAAAAAAATCAAAAGAGTCTGTCCAGTTAACGTTACAACGATCCTCCGCTCTCGGGTCATCCCGAACATTGGCCTGGTAGTTGTTGTCGGCTGTTACAGTTCTTTTCGTCATATAGGCTTGTTCACTAGAGCACCCAAGCTTCAGTGAGCAACCCTGTCTTCACTAAACACAGGATCAGCCAGTACAATCGTTCTCCTTGCCCACCTCAATTCGAAACTCCGCTGCAGTATATATATGAAGCTGCCGCCACGGACAGGCTAAAATTTGGCACATGCAGTTCACACTAGGTCGCGCGCGGCTGCAGCGGCACTTGTTGCTTTCATCTTGCGACGTCAAACCTTCTGTGACCTATGTCTCAAGTGTATATTTGCCATGGCTACACAATCTGATGACCTGCGACCGAGTATTCGTAGCCGACTTTGCGACAAAACTTATAGAACGATGGGAGGTTGCTGGCGACACCTCAATGCCCCAATTTTGCCGACTGTCCCGGCTTGAGGATGCTGTGTCATTCGGTAGAGCCGAATTAGGCCAAGATCCGATCGAGCCGAAGACAAACGGAACCGGCTCAGCGGTGCTCTCCCAGATTCCCAGGATCTTCATCCCCTGCCGAGCAAGAGCACCTGCAGCCTCTCAGAAAGTCTGTCTCGGGGCACCGAAAACGAAAACGGTAACGGAGCCCGACTACCGACATGAGCGCATCCACACGAACCATACGTGCTGCGTCTGACGAAAATGCGGTCTAGACCTTGTTGATTTGCCATCCATTTCGCTTTTCCCGTTCTTGCTCGCTTAGGTTCAATGTCCGCCGTTGTCCTTCTCAAAGAAGACGATGGAAGACTATCATTGATGTGATGATTCTGAGCTGCCTCGATATCCGATACTACGTGGATTTGAACTGGCGAGTGGGTTCTGGCGAATTGACGCGCAGTGGGCAACGCTAGAAGGTCGTCTCAGCCGCCACGCCAGTATTCCCGTCCTGGCACCAACAACCAAATTAGGAGAAGAGGATATTAACTTAATCTCGACTTCTTTCAACTCTCGATTGCTGACTCGGGCTTATACAGGCAGAGACACAAGCAGAGGAGGCTATCATGCTCAGAAGTACTCCGTAATATGCAGGCGTTCAAAGTCAGCGTCGGTTGGATGCAACTGTGCCAACTCCGACCCTCATCTCGCTAAAACCTTGCAGTGCAGCACCGCAGCGGAATCCACTTGGGTAAGAGTGTTCTCTGCATTATACAACATTACCGGCTGTGTGTTCTAGTGGATTATGATTTCTCGTTCACAAGTATGTGCACTTGATCCCGAGAAGGTCGCAGGTTCGAGCCCTGCCACGGTCATAGCAATTTCTTTTGCCGTCGTGTTCAATCCCCTGTTTTGAGATGGAATGCCCGGGTTCACGATGTGACACCCGCACATTGACTAAGCATTTACAACTGTCACTGTGTGTTATTGTATGTTTTGCTTTTATCTAGTCATCTTATGTCTACGGCCGTGCCCCCAAGGAGAACATTTGTGACCAATCCCCGTGCTGTCCAGGAGGCATATAATACCTTACTCGACAATCAGCGAGTTTCTCATCTGTCAGTGCCCTTGGCGACTTATGTTGTACTTTCTAAGCCCAACTTTTGGCGTTGTTTCCTCATTCTTCTGGCGCAATCCGTGCTCAAGAGTATATCCACCTTGTCAATTGTTTTCTTCATTGCGTCCGCAATTCGTTCTGCAGGGTTGCACTCCGAATGCTTTTCATAGCAAGTCATATATGAAAGCACCCTTTTGAGAGATTTGAGCAGGTCCATGATGCTCTCGTCTGACCTGATCTCAACCTCTGTTCTTCTGGTGCCTCGGACGTATATCAATCCCGCAAACACACTCCCCAGAACAACATAGTCGCATTTCTTGTCTCTAGTGATGGGTATGTCGGAGATGCCGGCACACAGCCATTTTCCGTCTATCAACCTATTGATAAGGCTGTTCAGGTGTGCTGGCAGATCTGAAGCCAGTTGGCTCCGCAGTGTACGGATGTTTTCTGAGAAAGTATTAGATAATACCTGGTGAAGAATAGTGTGTCCTTCTGCTTACCAGATATCATGGGTGAGCCGAGAGAGTCGTGGATGTAGTTGTCCAAACGAACTCCTTCAGTAGTCACCATGTGGCCCTCGTTGTCGGCGACACAAGTGAGGGCAATCTTGATGATTGTTCTTGAGAAGAGCCTCTCATCGCCTAGTGTCCAAGCCATGCAGGCCAACATCCCCAGGTCATGTCCGTTTCGACTAGTTTCCGCACTCTTCAATACTCCATACCACTGCGTGATCCACGGTTGTAGAACCTGCTCCATTTCGTATGAGCTTGCGAGACACAAGGTGTTATAGATCTCCGTGAGAGTAGGATCTCTTGGTACTTGGTAGAACTTGGAATGGATGATGTTGAGAAGGATAACCAGGCCAGATGACTTGTCAAATTGACAAGCGTAGAGCGACGGGGTGCATTCCCAGCATTCGCCATCGTGCGTTCTGATCTCGGAAACCGTCTCGTAGAGCGACCTTCTCCAAAAGGGTGATGAGCGCTGTAATGTGTTGGAGCAAACGCGGTATGATCTAGTATCGCCAGAGGAAGGATCGGTCCCGATTCGCAGTAGCAAATCACCGTTGGGATCTATCTGAATCTCATCTTCGTCTGCTACAGTATCAACAGATGGTGTCTGGATCCATTCGGCCTCCATATCGCTGTCGTATTCATCAACCGCATCAGCAGCTGGGCGCAGAGCAAGGTTCTTGATCTCCATGACTATGATGTTTTGGTCCTCCGATTTTCAGACACTAGATGGGGGTTGTATTGGAAAGAAAATGAAATTTCTTAACGATGGCGGAATGCACAATGATGTCGTTCAAGGCGAGCACCGCCCGCCCGCTGCCCCAGCACGGAGGTCACGGGGCGTCTTGGGATGTCATGTCTTGTTACATGGCAGAGTTTCTTGGGTCACAAACTCTGTGTTGCGCAAAGACTGTGCACATGAGGGGAGCAGAAACACACGGAAGTACCAGTTTTACGTAATGATACAGGCTCAACCATGGGCCGATTGACCTGATAGGTTGATAATGCTTGGCATCTCGTACATGGAAACGGCCACAACCATGGTCGATAGTGTCAATTCCGCCAATGTCCCAGGCGAACTGTGACTGTTTCGCGGGGAAGGACCCGGGCTCCGGAGGTCAGGCGGGATGGTCCGTAGGGCTTGGCCTTGTTCAGACTAAGGGCCAAAGCTTCACCGCATACGTAGGGCTTGGTATGTGCAACGCAATTCAAGACTCATCGTGCGGAGAAGTGTCAAGTCCGGGCACCAGGGTAAGTCGTTTTGCTTTGTTTGACTTTTATCTGAAGCAACAGATTTACTTTTTGAGCGAACTTGGCTGGTCTCTGTTTAACTTATCAATTTCATAACTTAGTACTAAAGTATCAATGAATGTGTGTCGCTGACAGCATTTTTTGTGATCAATGGAGTGGATGGTTGAACATAAGTGCTGTGCAACTGATTCATTTGACAGAGTTACGAGGGCGTCATGATGCAAGGTTTGATAAATTGAGACTAGTAATCTATAAATAGTAATGTTTACACTAATGCGTGAAAGGAGAGAAAGAAGAGAGAAAAATAGCCCATGAAGCTCAGACGTAATGACCTGGACTCTTTATGATAGTGAAGTAGACTTGAGGCAGTTGCATCTTTGATTGTCAAAAGGACTGCCTCAACCGACCTCAGCGTCCTTCTCGATGAAGACAGCAGGGAAGTCGAAATAGCATGTAGGAAATTCACCTCAAGCCAGTTTGCTCAACTCAACCTTGTTTTTGTCATCCCCGCCATTTAGTGCACAGTTGATAATGGCACGGTAGTATGGGTTCCTGGTGCCAAGTCCATACGATGTCAACTTGTCATAGATCTCCAACTCGACCTCAATCCAGTCATTCCTGCATATTGCTTTCGGTGAGTTCGTCCTCACGCAGAAACAGTACTCCTCATCGTCCCTAAGCGCAATCCACTGGCGACCAGGGGCAAAGCCACGGTCTTCGCGCGGGCGGATGTTCTCGCGCTTGTCAGCGACAAGGTAGAGCTTGCAATCGCTCATGACATCGTTGGCTACCTTGGGCTTGGTGATGTTGCTGATGAGCTGCAGGGTGACTGTAACGGGCTTCATCATCATTGATTAGGAACCACCCCCCGTTAAAAAACTTGGCAATTTTGCTTTCGTAGGTATCCCATTTTGGGGCAGGCAGGGAGTTGTACTCTTCGTCACGGATTCCAGATTGAAGGCGACGCGTGATAAGGGTTTTGGTGCACAATAGCATCACCGAATTCCAGCAATGGTGTTCAATCCATCCTCGGCATTCAGATTTACTGCTTGGCTGGCTGGTTGGCCAAAATATTGACGCCTGTTATGACTGGTTGCTGGCTAAACAAATTCTAGGGGGCCGATGGCGATTGTCCTACGAGCAATCATGTTAATTTTCTAAAAGATAAGGACTTTGGTACTAGCCCCAGAGTGTTCTGACTGGCGAAGGACCCTGTCGCATCGGTTCGTAGCCGTTGGCAGCATGTCAGAATCCAATCCAAAGCTGCAGGGTAGAGGACACAGCCTTAATAAGGGGCCCATATGACCTGGGAGCACGGTTCCGGCCCCAACTACGGGATATGAAGGGCGTAGCAGCGTAAATAGACCCACCATCGTGGGAACATTCGTCGAGCTACATAGCACAGTTCAAGCAGATATGATTAGGCTTGTTTATCAGTGGACCCCGAGCATCTAGCTTTTGCCTGTCAGTGACGGGATTTGATCGTAGACACGACATAATTCGATCGACAAGAGAACTTCTTGGCAGGGAACGAGACTGAGAACCTAAGGGGCAAGCATATATTCTCCAACTGGTTAGCTCGCTTTCCGTCACTATTGCTAACAAGGTTGACCCGCTATTCGTTGGGTCTCCAAGCTGGTGGGTTCTAAATTTCACTTAGTCTTACAACACTTACCATTCTTCCTTATTGTGCTGGGAAGAACAAGTATTGTCCAGTCTCCAGGTCTTAACCTCCCATCCTGGTATCCGGGAAGGTGGCACAGCGGTCCGTATTCCTTCGCTGGAGATGGTTAAGCCACAATGGAATACCGAATCCTGCAATGAGCTGTAGCTATACTAGTGAAACTATTCTTATTACGTCTTCAATTTTCGTGGACCATTCATTGAATGACCGAGAAAGTCTTCGGTAACAATAGCGCCCTAAAACACCATACAGTGTAGACATGGCAAAATTTAGCGAACATGACATCACGATGCAGGACTTATCTCCAACCGCAAAGTCAATTTAGATCCCTTGATTTGTCAGTAACTACGAAACAAAATGTCATCCAAGGTTCTCCCTTTGTCTCACACTACCATCCTCTTTGCCCCTCTACTCATATGGTACAATAGGCGAGATTTTTAGTCCCTGGCTCTCCCCAGCACTACACTTGAAGCCAGGAGCAATTGGTTGCGGGCCAGTCAATTGGCCACCAGTGCAGGTTGCAAAATGTGTCTCATCTGGCAAGCAGGTAAGGTAGCCCTCGGTACAAGCATTAGGAGGAGTTGGTTGAGACATATTGGGCGAAGAAATTGGCTTAACCCCAGTCACGTCTGCAGGGGCTGGTGTAACAACCATGGTGGCAGTGGCGGTGATAGTAACCTCAGTTGTCACAGTCGTAACTCTCGTTGCAGGTCAAAAACTGGTCGGGGCTTCAGTCTTGCTAGGAGTCGTAACGCCGGGGCTAGGCTCAGCTGGGGGAGCAGACTCACCGGGTGCGACAGTCTCATCTGGGACAGTAGGCTCAACTGATGTCGTAGAAGGGACAGGATATGTCTCGGATGTAACAGATAAGGAGACAGAAGATGGCGCAGCGATAGGCGAGGCGGTGGAAATAATTGTGCCATATGTTGCAGTTGAATTTGGAGCAGCATTTCCAGTCGAGCTAGAAGGAGCATCGACCCCAACAGATGGTTCCGCCGGTGTTTTTGCTCGAGGGTTGCCATCACATGGCTGCTTGTACAAATTCTCTGTTCCCTCGGGGTGCTCGACATAGATACCAGGGTTGGGGAACGCAATAGGGATTTGTGCATTCAGGGCTTCTCCAGTAGTGCAACCGCTAGAAACCACACCAAGGTTTGCCATAAAGAGCTCAGGGAACTGCTCCCGCTTGGTCAGCGACGCACGGCGATCGGCAAAGTACTCACGCTTTATTTTGATGCCGGTAACAGTGATCGGGGCACAGTTCATGTAGTACTCGGGCTGGCCGCCAACTCTTGCAAGCCATATCCAAGCAAAGACATAGTCACCGGGTACGATGCTGGTGGGGATCTGGAACGGGTACTTATCTTCATTAGGGCCCTCGAGATTACCCTTTTGGTTGCGGGCCGGACATCCACCTTCAATGGAGTGAATGACCATCCATCTTGAGTCCTTAGTTGGTTTTGGGTCGGCACTAAGAGCTAACTGGCAGCTGCCACCTCCATGTACAGCTTGCCCTTTGAAGGTAGCTTCGAAAGTCTCGCCAATAGCAATGGTTGTTGGAGATCCGTCGATCTCATAGCCCGCTCCAGCCGGGATCTTGCAAGGAAAGTCGTCGCCTGTGGTAGAAATGGGATTCGTAGGACCGTCAGCGACAAACTTGAAGGGCTTTGGGTTCTCAAGAACGACGTGTCCCAAGGTTGTTGATGCCAGCATCGACGCAAAGAAGATAAATTGGTACATGTCAGAAGGCCTGCTAAGTATTAAGGGCTAAGAGGTAAAGACGCGAAGAATCGGATTTAAGAGAAAAGAAGAAAGGAATTTTGAAACTGAAGTGGCATAGTGATGATGAAGTGGGAGCTTTCGATGTCGGAGTTTTGTGAAGTGATGTTAGGATCAAGTTGTAGTTTAACATCTGAGACATTGTAAGTTAAGATATAAGTCAAGTCACCCACTTCTGGGCACCCCACCCATGTGGGCACCCACAAAACGAAGCTATCGCAACAACACCACCCTTTTCAATTGACTATCGCCAAGGCCCAGATGCAACTATGATACAGCTTTCTGCCTCACTAGGGCAATCAGATGCGCTGGATTCATTTGTGTCAATTTTAGCATCACTAGCCTTGATCTGGGCTTGCCGTATATCGCTAATGTTAGTGAACTTAGTGTTAGGGTCAATTTTAATAGTCTTCCTTTTCCTTACTATAGTGTTGTTGACTTAGGCTTGGAGAAGCTATATCTGGTGCTAGGTAATAGCTAGCTAAAAGGACTGCTCTTAGAAGCCTTTTTTGACCTTTCTAAAGAGCTAGCATTATGTTACGACCCAACAAGTTACCAACAGTAATGCCCCACCCGGACAAGGCAGGACGCGGGCGGCATGACATTTGTATGGACAAGACATAAGAATGGACGGATGACTCCCCGGAACAGGAAGAACTATAGTATAGGTCACGTACAGATAAGATAAAGTGATTACTCTATAAGACCTATTAACTAATTAATAGACTTACTAATTAATTAGTAGATATAAGTAATTAATTAATAGAACTAAGTAAATAATTATTATTAATAAGTTAATAAAATTAGAATAATAGTATTAGATACTAAACCTATATATAAGATAAACTTAAATATACTTAAGGATAAACTTTTATAGCTTTTTAATAATTAACTTTATAATTTACTTTATTATAAATAACTCTTAGATTATTTTTCTATTATAAAGCTATATAAGTTACTTATACTTTAAATAACTAACTAATTATTAACTAACTATAACCTAGTTAAATTACTAACTAAACTTACTTTATTATTACTAAGTATTAACTTTAGCTATTTAATAATAAAAAATACTATTATTAAATATTTAACTATAATACTTTAATTACTTTTATTTAGTAAATTAACTTTAATATTTATTAAATAATAATAATATCTTTTAAAGTTACTTTAACTTTATTTTTTAATAAATCTAAAAAAAAAGTAATTATTTCTTTTAAACTTATAAGCTTAGACTAAAAAATAAAAAGCATTAAATCCTTTAATAATAAAAATAATAATACTAAAATAACTAAATAACTTAAAAAAACCTATAAAGATATTATAAATATATAATAAATATTTAATAATAATATAATACTCTTTAATTAACTTTAAGCTAAAGTCTAATAAACTAATAACCTTAAAAAAAAAGTTTATACTCTTTAAGCTACTATTAATATTATTTTAACTTTAGTAAATAAATAAAAGAAACTTAAGCTTAACTCTTTTACTACTTATAATAAGACCCTTAGAATACTTAAAGGATTTTTAATATAAGTTAAGACCTACTAAACGTTTTACTTTAATAACTTTTATATAAAAATAAAAAGAATTATTTATATAAATATCTTTTTTAAAGAATAAGTCTTTTCTTAGTTTAAACTTTACTTAAAAAACTACTTAAATAATAAAACTTTAAAATACTATAACCTAGAGACCTAGTAAATCTTTAGAAGCTTTATAGGATTTAAGTATACCCTAAAATCCTTATTCTAAGACCTAAATAAGAAACAATAAGCTAAATAAGACTTATTAAACCTTAAATAAACCAAGTTAACTACTAGCTATATTATAAAGTTCTAAAGAATCTATATATAACTAAACTATATTAATAATACTAAAATCTTTATATTTTATTAAAAACTAAAAAAAGAAATAAAAAATAAATTATTAAAAATAAATTAACCTAATAACTTCTTCTAATATATAGAAATAGTAATTTAAATTAATACCTAGCTATATAAATAGTAAAAAGAAAAGAAAAAAAACTACTACTTTTAGTTAAATACTAGTAAAAAGTATATATTATAAGGACCTAAGTCTATATAACTTAGTAGTTACTAAAAAAACAACTAAAGTATTACTTATAAATAATATAGTAGACCTATAGACCTAAGTATAACTAATAAAAATTAGCTAAAATAAGATATTAAAACTATCAAATATTATAACTATAATAAAATAAAACACTATACTAATAAGTATTAAAGCCTTAAAAAGAAAAGATTTTAATTAGTTTCTAAGAAGTCTAAGAATCTTAATATAGCTTATAAGATCTTTTATAAACAGCTTATATAAACCGTTTACTATAATAATAAGTATACTACTTACTAAGAATATAAAAAATAAGTAAAATAATACCTTAAAGAACTATAAGTTAAGACTTTAATAGTAGGATATTAAATAAATAATAATTATAACCTTAAGGACACTTTTTTATAAAAGCTAATTCCTAAAAGTAGAACTCTATTTAACTTAGGCCTAATAATTAATTAATAAATAGTCCTAGGCATTAAACCTTATAGGCTTATTATAGTTAAAGGATATAATAAAAAGTATATTTAAATCCTTTAAAACGTATATATAAAAAGAATTAAATAACTCTTAGAAAAACCTTATTTTAGCTACACCTTATATAAACTAATCTAATAGATTAAGTAAAGATTAGACCTAAAAGGAAACTTTATAAAACTCAAAATACTTAAAGAATAATTTTAAAAGGAATTAAGATAAAGCTAAGAACTACTAAAAATTAAAGTTCTAGTAATAAAATAAAGAACTTTTAACTAGAAGTTAACTAAGAAGGCTTAAGAATAGTTAAATAGGATATTATAAATCTAAGAGTATTAAATACTATTTATAGTATACCTTAAATTATTTATTTTAAATAATATAATAATAACTATTAAAATACTATTATAGTACTAGAAATAGCTATATTAAGTAGCTAATAAATATAAGTATTACCTAGAATCTTTAATAGAGGCTATTAGCTTATATACTATACTAGAACCTTAAAGGATACTTTAAAGGACCTTTAACGTTAATAATACCTTTAATAAAAAGAAAAAAGAAGAAAATATAATACCTTAATAAATTATAAAGAAAACTATATACTTAGATAAAGATAACTAATAAATAGAACTTTATAGACTATAAATACACTAAGTAGCTAGATAATTACTTATATAACTAAGACTTAAAGATTATATAATACTTAATCCTAAACACCTTAAATACTAAACAATCTTCTAAGCAAAATACATCTAAGACTATTATATTAAGCATATAACATATAAGTATAAATACTAGTTCTTTCTAAAAAGATATAATATTAACATTATCCTTAAAGTATATATAAATAACTAATTAAAACTATAAGAACTTAAATAAATAAATAAGTATAACATAATAATATTTACTTTTAGCTTTAAATACCTTATAAAATATATTAACTAAATCACTATATAATAAAAAGATTATAAAATAGATAAGTATAGAATCTATTATATCTTTAAGGTATAAGCCTAAAGGTATAAAAAGTAAGAACTTAAGAAATAAAGAAAAAACAAAAAATAACCTAGTCTACTTTACCTATAGTATAAAGACCACTAATAGTTAAAAAATAATAAACGTTAACTATAAAGGTATTATAAAAGGCCTTTAAAGGAAAATCCCTTTACTCTACTATAATAAGTAATAAAGAACACTTAAAACTTAAAGTCTAGATTAATAAATAGTCCTTAGCTATAATAATTAATTCTAGTATATAAGAAAACTTTATATTACTATAATAAATAAACTAATAAAAAATACTATAAAGAAGAAAAAAAAATAGCTATTAGCTAAGAACTATTAAAGGAGATAAGGTTAAGTATAATAAAAACATTATTAATATAAAGACTATATAACTCCTTATAGTTACCTATAACTATTAAGAATAACTTATCTTTAACATAACAGAAATAAAAGACTATAATATTATTCTAGGAATCCTATAGCTATAAAAGCATAATCTATAAATAGATTAAAAAATAAGCTAACTTTAATAAAAAATAAACTTAACTATAGGTTAATATTATATACTATAACCTCTAAGTAAGCTAAAATAATATAAATATATTACTATTATAAAAAAGATTAGACTTATAAAAGATAAGTAATTTAAGTCTTTTATTAATAAACAATAAAAAGAGAAATAACTCTTTTTAATTCTAAAAAAATATTATAAATATAAAAAACTATTTACTAAAGAATTAAAAATAAGCCTATTAAAATATAATATTTATAATTATAAGATTCCTTTTAAGGAAAAAGAACACTTAAAGTTCTATAAGATTTATAGACTTAATAAAATAGAATAAAAGATACTTAATAAGTACCTTAAAGAAAACCTCTAGAAAAGTTATATTTAATTATCTATATTCTTAGTAAAATACCTTATCTTATTTATACTTAAGAAAAACAATAAACTATAACTCTATATAGATTACTAATAACTTAATAATATTATAATTAAGAATTATTACCTATTATTTTTTATCTTTAAATTATAAGACCTATTATATAACACTAAGTAGTTTATAGCTCTTGACTTTAAGGGAGCCTATAACTTAATTAAAATAAAAGAAAACAAGAAATAGAAAATATGTTTTTATACCTATAAAAGTAACTATAAATACTTAGTAATACCTTTTAGACTTATAAATACACTTATTACTTTTTAAACTATAATTAACTATATACTTAAAGAATTTATAAATATATTTATTATAGTTTATTTAAATAATATTCTTATTTTTTTTTATAATCTTAAAGACTATAAGAAGTAGGTTTACTAAGTTCTTTAAAAGTTATAAGAAGTTAAGCTTTTAGTAAAACTAGAAAAAAGTATATTTTATAGCTAATAAGTTAACTTC